CTGCTGAAAATTACCCCTGACTGCTAGTATTGACTTCTGGAGAGAGACCGTCTGCTCTGTCTTCTATAGGACAGCCATTCAGGTATTTGAGAACAGGAAACAATAAATAAAAAGAATCCAAAAGTATGTAATAAGTATAATAAAGTAAACAACTACTACTGTTAATATGTCACAAACACTACTTCTGTGCACAACCCTCATGAATAAATCTCTAATGTCAGAGTGAGGAATTTACTCTCTCTTTATATTTGTGTCTGTGTGTCTCCTAGGGGAAACCCAGAAATTGGAAACTGTGTGGTTGTCTGGGATCTGTCAAAATGAAAAGAATGAAGTGATGAGCAGCAAATTAGACATTGACAACATGGCTGGCGTCTTCTACATGCTGCTGGTGGCCATGGGGCTGAGCCTGCTGGTCTTTGCCTGGGAACACCTGGTTTATTGGAAGCTGCGACATTCTGTCCCCAAGTCTCACAAGCTCGATTTCCTTTTGGCTATAAGCAGGGTAAGTGTACAAGGAGTTCTCCAAGGAGGTGTGTGTGTTCCCCTTGAGAATATTTTCATGTTTTATGTTTTATTTTCATGAGCCAGTTTGGTCCAGTGGTTAAGAGCGCTGACTCTAATCTGGGAGAACTGGGTTTGATTCTGCACTCCTCCACATGCAGCTGCTGGTGTGACCTTGGGTCAGGCATAGGTTCTCCCAGAGCAGTTCTCTCAAGAGCTCTCTCAGCCCCACCTACTTCACAGGGGAGGGGAAGGGAAAGGAGATTGTAAGCCGCTCTGAGACTCCAAGTCAAGGGCAGGGTATAAATCTCTTCTTCTTCTTCGATAGTCTTTTATCTTGCAGATGAAGGGGCACCAACCTGCCCTATTGCTGGCCCAAGGATTTTGGTGCCTGTGCAGCAGGGAAGACATTGCTTGCAGCCCCCTACATTGGGGATGTTGGGAAGCTGCTGCTCTCCTTGCTTCCCCCAGCAGTGAAGTGGGAAGCAGCTGCCTGTCCTTCTTTCACACACCCGACAGCATGGAGAGGCAGGGAGCTGCTGCTCTACTTCCTTGTCCCCCCACCCTCCAGACCACGACAAGGCAGGAAGTTGTTGCCCACCCTCCTTCCTCTTCCCCAGCACCTAAGTGAGTTGGGACCAATGTTCCCGCTAAGCTGTGGGGTCTTGTGAGCAAAAATTCTACTTTGTGAGCTACTGGCATTAAAGTTGTGAGCAAGCAGTATGGCTAGGGCATAAATTAGCTTGCTCTGGAGCCATCCTTCCTGAGCTAAGACAAAAAATGTGTGAGCCGGAGGCTGAAAAACTGTGAGCTAGCTCACACTAACTCAGCTTAGAGGGAACACTGGTTGGGACGCCTCCACCCACCTTCCTTTCCCCCTGCATTGTGAGGGAGGGAAGGAGGAAGTGGGCTCCATCCCTGAGGGAGGGAGGGAGGGAGAGAAGAAGTAGCCCCCCCTCACAGCCCACCCACCTGGGTTTTATGACAGACCCAGACACCATGGGCAAGGTAGCAACAGGGGTAGTTAGTGTCCCTCCACCTCTGATCACACAGGTGTGCCTAGTGAAGGGTCCGGTCCAGGTGTTTTCTGGGAAGCTTCCCTAGGCTCCAGGCCCTGTTCTAAAGGCTGGAAGAATTGCTCCCTCATGACGGTTTTTCTTCTGACTGCCTGGCCTTCTTCACAGTTACCTGACCTATACACTCAAATTGTGCATTGATTGAGGGTGGGGAACTGAGGAATTAATATCCTACCTAAAAGATTCTAGAATGGGCATGAGAAGAGAAACCCATCACTGATACGAAAAACACTCCTTGCTTCTTTTCCTTATAAGTAAACCTATAGATAATCTTGTTCTCACACTTTGAATAAGATTTCATTATCCCCTGGGGGCCAGACCAAGTTTCTTCAGCAGCTAGATTGAGACCAGGAACCGACACTGTAAATATTTTGCCACCAAGCCAAGCCTAGATAAATGTATGAAAAGTGTGGCATGAGTTTCTAATTTGGCATTTTAAGACGTGGGATTCTTCTCCCTTCCATTTCCTTGGGACATCAGAAATAAAGGTATCTCTTGAGATAAGCATGAGTTAAAGAACTAAGTAAGTTCTCTCTAGGTTAGTGGTGGTGGGGAACCATGTCACAGTTACCATGATTTTAAGCTGTGGAAATTGTTTGGAGACTGGAAAGAATTAGAGAATGATTTGCTGTCTGCTTGCTTTCTCCTGGAGCATGTAAGATGCTTGTTTGTTTAGGCTTTTTAAAGAGAAGCTTGATCCACATGACCAGTTTGAATAATAGATATGTGGATGCAGTCTTACAATTTGTTTAAGAATCATTTCTGCCTGTGATCTAAAAATGGTCCTCAGTGGAGAAGATGTGTTTTTCTGCCTTTGAATGAGGTTCAGTATGTCTACATAGGGGCTGTCATCTAGTGTGTTGGTGAGACATGTCCTTGTTAAAAAGACAAACAGAATCCTGTAAATTAGAGCAGGTTAAGAAGGGACCATTTCTCTTCTAGTAGGTGACTGGACATGTATGCAAAGATTCCACATCTTCACACAGAGACCTGTCAGGGTTAAGAGCAGGGCTTTTTTGTAGAAAAGGCCTAGCAGTAACTCATTAGCATAATAGGCCCCACCCAACATCAGAAACTCATTAGCATATTAGTCCACACCCCTGACACAGCTCATTAGCATATTAGGCCACACACCCCATGCCTTCCCTTGGCTTGCCCGGGCAAGCCAGCCCTTGGACAAGCCAGAGGAGGCATTTAAATGCCTCCCAGATCCTTCCAGGCGGCCCCTGGCCTGCCCACCTCCGAGTTGCCGAAGGGGGGGTCACTCTACAGGCCTTCCCTCTGTAGGCACGCACGCAGAGGTTTTGGCTGTAGTGGGTGTGGCCAACTCTGAAGCCAGCCAGAACTCCGTTCCTGTGCGTTCCTGCCCCAAAATAGCCCTGGTTAAGAGTATCTTGTCTCCTCACACCAACTTGGCTCTCATCTGTGATATGGAGGGCAGATTCACTGGGGAGATGTAGAGGTTAAGGAACAGCCTACATATGGCAAGTTCTCTGTGCCGTGAATATGCAACTGACTTTTGGCGACCCCAGCAAGAAGCTTTCAAGGCAAGTGAGAAGCAGAGGTGGTTTGTCATCGTCTTCCTCTGCAGAGTCTTCCTTGGTGGTCTTCCATCCAAGTAGTGAACCTGCTTAATTTCTAAGCCCTGCATAGTTAGGCACCACGGGGGGGGGGGGCTTGGTGAAATCCACACATGAGCTTTTGGGGGTGGGTTTGCTCCCACTGAGAACCTAGCAATTGCAGCTTCCCAACCCATACATTTAAGGTGGTGGAAAGGAACTGAAAAGGCCCACTCTGGACTCCACCAGTGCCTGTCCTGCCTTCTGGCCTGCAGGCCACCCACACAAATCTTTAAGGTGTCACAAGACTCCTGTTCATTTTTGCTGCAACATGTAAGCAACATTTTGTTACCCTGGCTCTCCCTCTGGAATTATTATCTGCAACAGTCCCAGTTGTAGTAAAGCAGCACTCACAGGTTCAAATTGCATGACTGATATTCCACATAATATCTGGGAACTGACCATGGGGTTTGGGTTTATGCACATTTGATTTATTTGCACAGTAGCCCATATGTACCTATCTAGTAGGTAGAGAACATTGCTGTGATCTGAAGCTTCACCATGCATAGTAGGTAAGAAAACATGGTATCTCTGCGTATGCCAAAACACACTAGTGTATGTGAACTTTTCCCTGTCCTGCTGGGAAAACACACAGGTCCAGGACTATGCATCATCATGCCAGCCTATGCTATATCTTTTTTTTTTTTTTTAAAGAAAGAGGCATAGACCTTTTCCCCAAGCCAAGGTAAGTCCATGGCTCTTAACATTTATGGGCTAATGCATCCCCCTATTGCCAAGACAAGAAGCCCATAGCCCTCAATCTTCCTTTTTTCAATATTCATCTCTCTCTCTCTCTCTCTCTCTCTCTCTCTCTCTCTCTCTCTCTCTCTCTCTCTCTCTCCCCCCCTCTCCCCCCTCTCTTAAAAGGAATTTGTATAGGAATGCATCACTCATGTTTAGTTTGTGTAAAATGTATCTGAAATTAAACCAATAATTTAAAAAAACCCAATCATTCCCCAATTAGAAATGCACCAGAATAATGAACTGGGAAATGATTTGCCAGTCCTCAGCACAGTTTCTTTTTCATTTCCAGACCATATTATTTGTTCCATCAAAACACACAAAAACCCACCTTGGATGGGTTTCCCCCCTGTACCTTATCTGATCAAAGTAAAATGCATTTGAAACTATGAAATATTGGACTTGTGCAACTGAAGCAATAGAGAAAGGATTTGTTCATAGAGAACTGGGATTGGATTTCTGGATTTTAGAATAATAGCACTTTTTCATGTTTGTATCTTAGCTGTGAAGTGCTTCAGATAAAGTGTGTTGTACTAAGAGTTTGGGGGCCATTACACTAGCTTCTACGCTTTCTGAATCTGTGTTTTCTGAAATGTTTAACAAAGGACCTCAATGTAATGGCACTTAAATAACCACTGGAAATTCATAGTTTAAAAAAACCCAAAACCCGGGATGAGCACTAAGGAGAAGTTAACTCCTGAAAATACAGTGTCCAAAAACTATCCTTTGCCATTAGAAACACACCGATTTCTTAGGAAACCACATCTGAAAAATATCAGATTAAAGTACAGAGTGGAAGGAATTTGGACGAGCCAATGTTTGAGGTGCCTGTAGGGACAAACTTGTCAACCAACTACCTCCACTACGACAAAGTCGGCATAACCAGACAATCTGATCCAGGTCAGGGTGTGGTAGAGAGACACTTTCTTCCCAATCTTTATTTTAATAGATTTTGATTGTGGAATCAAGATCTGCTGGCCAAAACCTGACACCTGTTATGTTTCTGAACAACAAAAGTGCCACAATCTTCTTTCCCTGCAGATTTATTTAGAAGAAGAAGAACCCCTCCTGACTTTAACAGTGACTAAAGTATCTATTAATAACAGACTATGTAGTCTTGAGCTGATATAACTAGCAATCACACCAGCACTCTATCCCAAATATTTATACATTTTCCAGGTCTTTGAGCTACATGAGGTCACGTTGTGTTTTTAATATCCTTCATGAACTTGATAAACCAACATTCCCCCAGCTCATCCCTTCCCAAGACATGCCCATTTGCCATTCTTTTCCCCAGTCACTTGGGAGCCTTATTGATCATTGCATTCCTTTCCCTCTTATTTTCCCCACCAGGGCATCTATAGCTGTTTTAATGGAGTCCAGAACCTGGAGAGTCCTGTTCGTGTTCACAAACCCGACGTCACTGCTAACTCTGCTCAAGCCAATGTGTTGAAAATGCTGCAGGCTGCCAAAAACATGGTGTCAACTGCTAGTGTTGGAAACTCTTTAGAAAATGCTACACGCACCATTGAGAATTGGTCAAACCGAAGTGAAAACCTCCAAACAACCTTCTCCTTAAGGACTCCTCAGCTTGTGGTTCAGAATACTAGTAGTCCTAACAGGCCAGACCAGTTCTCCAATGCAGCAACAACTGAGAAGCTTGGGAGGCCCATTACACCGTTACTTCCCATGCCCCAACAGCCTTTGGTGCCAGCTGGTGAAATCTGGACAGGGACAAGTGAACAGCCACAGATACTTCATCCAGTGAAGTTCCGAGGCAGCTTTTCTGAGGATAAGGTTCTTCCAGGTTCCACTGTGAACAGCTCCAAACGCTACTTGGTAAGAACCACACCTCAGACTCGTATCAAAAATCAAGTGCCACTTGGAAACCATCTTAGTGCTGCTCCTCACTCTCCAATTGGGTCTCTTAGGGAGTTCCTCCCACCTCAGCAGAAGCAGAAGCTACCCATGCCTAGAGGAAAGGAAAGGTTCCACCAGAATGTTCACCTGGTGTATGGAGAAGGTGGACATGACAGCTCAGCCCATATGGCAAGGCTGATTTCCACTTCTGAGAAGAGAAAGGATTTGGAAAACCACTTCTTGCCTCATGCATGTGTACACAACTCCTTCCCCAGAGCTGACAGGACTTGCAGACCTTTAATATACAAAGAATATGACACAGCAGAGCGAAGGAGGGAGAAGCAGAGTCACAGACATGACCTCCCAAGGTCAGCCTGGGAGCAGTATGAGAGATCACAGTCTCTGGGCATCTGGAAGCATCATGGAAAGTCCTCTGTCTATGGGGATGTGCCAGACCTTTTCCCCGAAGCTGGTCTAGCTCCAAAAACATCATCAGTGCCTGGAATCCATCATGGACTCCACCACTATCCTCCCAGTGCCCTCAGGCCAAGTCATATGTGCAATAGGAAACGTGTGGAGGCCAATAGTTTGCCTTGGAAGGACCAACAGCGACTGCATTCTCAAACCACAAGGCTCCCTTCCTATCAGGAGGCCTGCCTACAAAACGCCTCAGGCATGCACAGGGCTTCTTCCACAGTGGTGCACAAGCAGTATGCCTACCTGAACTCTTACACAAACCTTCCTATTTACTGGGGCCACCTTTATCAGGGCTTTCCCCGACTATGTGAACAGTCCAGTGCTCCCCAGCACTGTTTCACTCGAGCTCCCTGTTCCCCGTGCAGCAGGGATTTCTTGGCCCGTGAGCATGGCCCAAAGAGCACGTACTTTGGTAGCACATACAGAGACTGCAGGGAGCGGAGCAGGGTGGATCCAGCCTTTCTCCAGTTGGTTGACACAGATAGGAGGGACTTCCTGGCCACCCAGAGGATGTACAGCCCTTATGCAACAAGATCTTGGAGGCGTATCTCTAGCCTAGAATCTGAAGTCTGAGATGGAAAGGGGGATGATGCTGAGGGTGTTGTTACTAGATCTGTAACCATGTTATAATTCATACATGCCGTGGGGCCAGTAACCCCAATAAGGGCAAAAGCTGGACTCATCCAGTCTGCTTCTTCATGCTCAGCTGGTATCGACAAGAAAGATCTTTGTCTCTTTTCTGCTGACCTGGATCAAAGTAAGAGCAAGTGACCTTTCTCCTTCATCAACTGATGAAACAAAACAAACAAACAAACAAATAAAACGGCGGCAGCAGTTGAAGGCACTTTAATGACTGATTTCCAAAGTCTTCCATTGCTAGGCACTGGGACACTCATCAAGCGCAAGAAGACTCTCATGGTGGTGATTCACAGTCATGCTGTCTCTGTGGATAGCTTAAGTATCAATTTCAATGTCAACCATTTACATTTCAGTGCCAGTTATCTTTCAGAGCATGCTCTCTGTGACACAGTGGGAGATGCCCAACAGCCTACTAAGAATTAGGACTATCTTGCTTTCCCATATGCACTGACCTAAATGGGGACTGTACAAAGGACTTACAGGCACATAAGTGTGATATTTTTAGTGTTTACATTACTTTCTGTTTCCTCATACAGAACCCCAAATGCCAAAACAAGAGGTTATTAAAGACACATTTCTTAAAATGTATTCGCTCTGTTTCCTTTCTTCATTCTTTACTTTTGGCTGGCCGAGTGTAAGATTGCTTCCCGCAATGTGCTTAGGGTAAAGAGGGCCAAGGATTTGGGGCTATCCTTTGCAGGGAAACCGGGAGGGAAGTCCAGACTCCACACTGAATTCAAGGCAATGGCTGCTGAGAGTGCAGTTTTAAAAAGAAAGCAATAACTCCCCACTTCCATCGCTATCCGTTTCCTTTAGAATGGGTCTGACATCACTGTTTCATCATAGGGCCAAAATGCATTTTTCAGCAGTAGCTGCCACCACTACTGCATCCAGTGCAGCAAATGAAGGCAGAGACTGAGCATGCATCACAAATTTCCTGTAAGTTAAGTGATGAGACTTTTAAAAGCTGGTAATAGCCTTTTGTTTCATTTCCACTTGTGAAGTATATAAATCAGATACCAAATATATATGCACACAGTCCGCCAGGAAATATGTATACAGCCATTGTATAGACTTAAATTTGCAAGCATGGTTTGGAGTTGCCTTATCTACTCAGAGTAGGCCTGCAGAATGATCATCATTGGGTTGGATCCTACCAGTTTTTCTGCTTGCTCCCATCTGATTCAACTCCTTACTGCAATCCCCATCCCATGTGGCAGTTTTCCATATGGGTCTGAAGATTCAAAGTATAGCCAAAAGGATGTGTGTGTGTGTGGGGGGGTCCTTCCTCCTTCATAGTGGAAAAGCAAGTAGGATCTATCCCATTCTGTATACAGTAGTGGAATACAAGTGCAGTAGCTCATGATGACATATTCGGTGTGAGTTTTAGCGCTGTCTAGGGATGCTTATCACTTCTCTGGGTCACAAAAAAAAATGCTAATTTTTGATCCATTCAGTTTCTGAAATATCACCTGCCCAATATCTGATAAATATCACAGCTTGGCTTTGCCTCACCTGGTCTCCACTCTCCCCCATATACTTAAAGGCAACTTGGCAATATGAAAGTTCAGCTGTTTAACAGAAATCCAAGGAAATATGTTTGTTTATTTATTTCTTTATTTAAATTTCTACACACACCCCTCCCCACGAATGGGCTCAGGGCGGTTAACAAATGGGGCACCAAGTGCCAATACATAAAACCAATTAAAACTGGATAAAACAGAATAAATAACCTAACATTACATAAAGTGCTCAATGCTGTGACTCTTAAATTTAAACAAGATGGTATTGAGTAGATGTTGCCTCCATCCTATTACAACGGTACCGATCTGCTGCGGCACTGAAGTGTGATCGTCATAGGGCCGCTCCGTTCCCAGTTATCAGCCGTGTTCATTGGTGGTGGTGGTGGTGGTGGTGGCGGTTCCTAGTTGAAAGCCTGGCAGAAGAGCTCCGTCTTACAGGCCCTGCGGAACTGTACAAGGTCCCGCAGGGCCCTGATCTCCTTCGGGAGCTCATTCCACCAGGTAGGAGCTGCCACTGAATAGGCCGTGGCCCTGATTGCAGCAAGCCGGGCCTCCCTAGGGCCTGGGATCACTAAGCGATGTTGTGCCCCGGACCGTAGTGCTCTTTGGGGTATATATAGGGAAAGGCGGTCCCTCAGGTATGTCGGACCCTGGCCATATAGGGCTTTAAAGGTAAGAACCAGCACTTTGAAGCAAACCCGGTACCCTATTGGCAGCCAGTGCAGCACTTTCAGCACAGGCCAGATATGCTCCCATCTAGGGAGACCCACCAACAGCCTGGGCTGGTCGCAGCATTCTGCACTAGCTGCAGCTTCCAGATTTGCGACAAAGGCAGCCCCATGAAGGGAGGGTTGCAGTAGTCTAATCTCGAGTTGACCGTCACATGGATCACTGTAGCCAGGTCATCGCGGTTGAGGTAGGGAACCAACTGCCGAATCAGCCTAAAATGGTAAAAGGCTGACCTGACAGTGGCTGCTACCTGGGCCTCCATAGTTAGGGAGGAATCCAGGAGCACTCCCAAACGCCTAACCTCTGGTGCTGGCACCAAAGGTACCCCGCCGAAGGTCAGGAGAGGGATCCCCAACCCCAAACCACCTTGACTGAGGCACAGGACCTCCACCTTTGCTGGGTTCAGTTTCAAGTGACTCAGCCTGAGCCAACCAGCCACGGCTTGCAAAGCCCAGTCCAGATCTTCTGGGCTGGAGTCCAACCGGCCGCCCAATATCAGATAGAGCTGGGTATCACCTGCATATTGATGACATCCAAGCCCATACCTCCGGACAATCTGGGCAAGGGGGCGCATATAGATGTTAAACAGCATCGGGGAGAGCACCGCCCCCTGAGGCACACCGCATTCAAGCGGATGTCTTCAGGACTGCTGCTCCCCTAGCGCCACCCATGTTCAATTTGGCTTGAATCTTTTTAAGGGGGGGGGGCTTTGATACGCTGTCTCTTCATTTCCCCAAGGCTTATTTTGTGTTCCATTCATTTTGTCTCATTATAGTCACAGCACGATCAAAGGCCACCCAATGAGTCTTCACCTAACTGCTAATTTTTCACTTAATGTCACCAGATAGCATGAGAGTTTGGTACGACTAAAACCATGTATTCATTTGCTTTCACTGCTAGAGCTGCCAGCTTTCCAAATTAGAGCTGTGTGTGCTGGGAGCGCATGAGGCCTGCTAAGTAGCTGGAACAAGGTGGCACATCAGGGTGGAAAGTGCTGGGAGCTGCTGCTCTTTGCAGTGGCTACTGGTGTGAGAGAGGATTTTCTTTCCTTTTTAAACCTTGCACTCTATAGTTATACTTCCATAGTTCATACCCCAAGGGTAGGATTAGACCAGAGGAGGGCCCAAAAGCCCACTGGACCAGTTTATACGTGTGCGCATATGCGCGCGCACACACAGTGCAACTGAGGTCAGACCTACATGTTACAATTTGACTTTGACACTGTTGGTTACACATTTTAACATGTAGGGTTGGGACTCCTCCAGCCCAAGTTTGATACCAACAGTCAGATGTCAGGAATGGGGGGGAAAGGCCCAGGGCCCCAGTTTGGATCATTATTATGGTGTGGAGGGAGAATGGTCTTTAGCATCCCCCTCTGTGCCATCTTCCCAGCACAAACCCACCCCAGGGGGCATTATTTGCCCGATAGAGGGTACATGGATGGCCCCTCAGTCTACAAACTGCCCCCCAGAGGGCAAATAACACTGCCCCAGGGCCATTTTGGGTTGAGAAAATGATACGTGTGAAGGCTGAACAAGGCCTTTCTCCTCCCTGCAGTATTGTCCCCATTGGAGTTGGGCCAGAGCACTTGGAAACCAAGTCCCCCCCACTCCCCTAATATCTGACTGTTGGTGTCAAAGTCAGGATGGGGGCTCCGCATCCCTTGGACCTGAGAAACTACAAAACTATGGGACTGATACATGACAAAAAAGGACTGTAAGACAAGGCATATCCTGGATGCCCAAGCA